AAAAAAAATATTTAAAGAAGATACAATACCATTAGACTTAGTTACAGGTTAGTGTTCATCAAATGAAAGTTTTGATGAATACACTTTTATTCATGCTTATATATTTAATGTTTGCATTCGTTAGTGCCTAGGTTAGTGCAATGTTCTTCTCAGCACTCTGATCCTGAAGCCACTCAAGCAGTGAGAAGGGGATTCAAGTGCTGTGGTACATAGAATGTTTTTTTGAGAAACAAATTCTTTATCCTTTATATAGTACAGTAGAAGTCTGAACTTGTTGTCTGGCAAAATCTAGCATCCAAGACACCACAGAATGTGATTAAATAATAGCCAAATTGGCCTCTTTCCCTTCAGAAAGAAAAAAACAAATGCCACATGAAAACCCAGAAAAAGAAAATTTCCTGTTTTATATCTGACTGGGATTAAATCCTTTGAGATGATGGACCATTATACACATTAGAAACTGTTCCATTTCAAATTAACAGGCCCACAGAAACTGTACAATCAGTAACTAATTTTCTTTGACTTGCAGAACAAGAACACTACAGGGGGCAGTTTAATTCAATAAAGCTGTCACAACTTTCATAAATTAAGATGACATAAATCGCAGCCAGACCCAAAGCACGAATAAACATTGCTGGAACACTACTGTTTTATCAAAACAACCATGGCAAGGAAAACATTACATTTTCCCAAAAGGCACATCTGCTTATAACCCATAACCATAAGACATGCAGCTGTCTTAAAATATCTGTACTTATTTCCTTTCAGTCCGGAGATGAGGGAAAACTATTTCTGTATTTCTTCTAAGATAAATGAACAAGGGTAAAACAAATACTTGTGAGTTCTCAGAGTGTCCACGGAGTTCAGCAAGTTGCGCCAAAAACATCCAAGTTTTTTTATGTTCACTATACCCCTGATAATCCTACTTGACATCTTAACTAATTATTCTCATCTATCCAATAAACACTTCCTCAATTTCGGAAATACAAGTTAATCTATAATACAGTTTGTAAGCACGGGAAATCCTCATGACATTGTTTTAAATTAGGGGATAAAAATGCCAATTATGAAAAACCAAGCTTTACTGGATCGACATGCTGCCAGTGTAGCTAATCAGGTATTGAGCAGGATTTGTATGAAATTATTTTGTATTCCAATGCTGTGTGCTGAAACATTCAACAACACATTTCCTCAGAACAAAATGGTTAGATATAGTGTGCTCATTAAAATCTGGCTAATGCTAGAAGAGGCTACTAATTTGAAAAAAAAAAACACCTTCAAGGATGTTAAGCATTACACGTCACAGTTCAGCTCACCAGTACCTCTATTGCGACTTTTTCCTGTTCACATTGAGCTCTGGAACCTTGTGAAGTTACAAATTCTGAACTGGTGACAACAACACTCTACTGTAGATTAATAAATATGGGATTAATAACCCCAGTTATATGGATGTAGTTTGAATATGTCAAGAAAAATAGCTCAGTTTCCAAAAGATGTTTATACTTAGCCATTGTTTTTTACCTTAATCATTCCAAAAACAACAGTAAAGAACAAGACACAAAGAAAAGTAGACAGATTTGAATTGAACCTGAACCTTCTTCAAGTAAGGAGACAAAGAATCCAATGGTTTAGTTCCCTTGGCTTTTCACAAGGAAAGCCAATCTTGTAAAACCTTCCTGTGTCAAACCTTTTTTACAGTATACAGTAGATACACCTCCCACAGAGGTGACACCACAACCCAAATAGATGTGTGCATGGCCATGACAGAGCAATTACTGTTGAGCAGGGGTGACCATCTCTGCTCCTGAAGAGCTTTTATTCTACCGTTTATTGTATATAGTAATAAGATACCAATTGCATCACTTTCTAAAGATCTAGAACAAATTCATTGTAATCTATCGAAAGGGTGTTTATTTAATTATGTGTTTTAGAGGTCATTAACAATGACAATCTGAAGATCATTTGGCCGGGAACAGCTCCCTTAAATGAACAAATTAGTTTGCTCTGCCTCGATGTAAGGCAACAGGGCATACAGTACAGATAGATGCTTTGCAGCAAATAATACAGAATTTAATGGGTTTTTTTTTTCTAATAGTTTCTTTTAAGACCACAGTGGAATGAGAATAATCTCTAGGCAGTTAATGAACTTTAAACTGCAATGACAACAATCGCACAGCAGTCTCTTCCTGTGTGGCTTTCTGCAGCTTAAGGACTATTATAATTTACTAGAACATGCCAGGAAAAGGCCAGTTGTGACTTGCAAAAGAAGACAAAACTCCCTGAAATAAACTTTGAGCTATAATTTAGTTGACTTTGTACCAACCATTTGAGCTCTAATAAATAAAAGTTCCTGATATGGTACTAAGATTAACAACAGGGGAATATTAATATTTTTGAGAAAATGTCTTAAAATCATTATAGATTCTTTCTTTTTTTTCATGGAGTCATATTTGTTGTTTTCAGATCATGTGAAGCATTAACTACTAGGCAGATTACACACAATTTCTGTAATGAATGGAATTTTCCTGCATTTCCAGAACACAAATAGGTATAAAGATCACATTACTACAGATGGTAGCATACAGTAACAGCTTACACTGCTGTGCTGTGTTCTTGCCAAGGTTCTGCATGTTTTCTTGTTATCATTATAAGATACACATGTATTTCAAACATTCCAGCTTCTCAACAGGACACAGTTAATCTACTACACATTCCAGACGTGTATCTGTTACAGTTACATTTCAAACATGGCAGTTTTGATTTCTATAACCCTAAGCACATCACTTTAGATCTGGGCTGATTTCCAAACATCAATTGCATGATAAGGTACTGTTGTTATGGTATTGTGTGTGTGTTTAATGGATTCTAAGAAACTGTTATAATCATGTTATATGATCTCTAATATCCAAGCTCTTTAAGGTTCATTTTAAAGGATATGTTTTTAATATTGATAGGCACAGTGATTAGTGCCTCTTTTCAATTCCTGGGGTGCTATATGTGTGGAATTTGCATGTTCTTCCATGCTGACATTGGTTTCCTCCAGGTGCTCCAGTTTCCTTCCACAGTACAAAGACATGCTGGTAGGCAGATGGGTTTCTATAAAAAAGTGGCCTTGCTGTGAGTGTGTTTGTGTCTCTGTGTACTCTGTGTACTTTGTGATTGGCTGACATCCTTTCCAGGGTGTATCCCACCTTGCACCCAATGCTTCCTGGGATATGGGATATGTGATACTTCAAATAAGTGGTTATTGAAAGTGATGTGGTGTTTTTCATACTTGAAAATACCCAGAGTTTGTAAGGCCACATCTCCAAATGTAATAAAGATATAAATAGTGCTAACAACTCCTTTTTAGGAGTTAAAGGGTAAAAGATCCAAATTAAATCACATGTAATATCTGATAGCAGTTAAACATTTAGCTTGTAGTTAAAGTACACTTGTTTCTAAAATTTTTCTGTTAGTCCAGCATAATTAAAAACAGACCAACGATTTCAAACTAAAAACTTTTAAGACAGAACTTAAGATTTTAAGATTATAATAAGACCCATTTCCTGAATTTATGCTTTACTCTATAATGATGCACATTTAAAATCTGAAATAT